CACTGTAAAAAGGCCACATACTGTCTGATTCCAACTACAATTGAACCTTGAACAACTTGGGTTTGAAATGCACAAAATATGTGTTAATAGACTATCTATGCTATTGATAGGCTTTTAGTCAACAGGAGGCTACTAGTAAACTTTTGGGAGAGTCAAATCTACAAGTGGATTTTCAACTGTGTGGGGGATCAACACCCCTAACCCTTGTTATTTAAGGGTCAACTACATGTAACATTTTGGAAAAGGCAAAACTATGGAGACAGTAAAAAAATCGCCGGAGCCGATTTGGCTCAGTGGATAGAGCATCGGCCTGTGGACTGAAAGGTACCGAGTTTGATTCCAGTCAAGGGCATGTACCTTGGTTGTGGGAACATCCCCAGTGGGGGGTGTGCAAGAGGCAGCTGATCGATGATTCTCTCTCATCGATGTTTCTAACTCTCTATCCCTCTCTCTTCCTCTCTGTAAAAAAAATCAATAAAATATATTTTTTAAAAAAAGATCAATGGATGCCAGGGCTGCGGGAAGGGAGAATGAGTAAGGAGAGTGCAGATGATTTTTAGGGCAGTGAAACTATTCCATATGGTACTATAAATGGTGGAGACATTTGACCAAATGCACAGAATGTCCAACACCAAGAGGGAACCCTAAGGAAAGCTATGGACTGTGGGCGATTATGTGTTAATGCAGTCTCATTAACCGGAACAAATATCCCACTCGAGTGGGGGATGTTTATAATGAGGGAGGCTGTGTATATGTGGGGGCAAAAGGGTACACGGGGAATCTTCCTACCTTCCATTCATTTTTGCTGGGAACCTAAAACAGCCCTAAAAATAAAATCTACTTGAAAAACGTAGTTACTGGCTCCCTGTCTTTACTTCTAAAACAAAATTTGACCCGATTGGCAGCTTATCACACTTAGCTCCTGCTGAATCTGCCTGTCCTCAATGGTCAATTATTTCATGACGCTCAGCTCCTCCAGGGCAGGCAACAATGCCCCCTTTGCCCCTCTGGCATCTGGGGTGGCACTGAACACATAATAGGATACGTAAGGTATTGTTTTTACTGGTGCCGAATAAATAAAAAAGGCTCCGTTGAGAAAACAGGTTCCTTTTTCCTCCTGCATTTTTAAAGCAGACTTAATTGAAACAACTGGGCAAAAACCTGAACCGATTCATGTCTCCCCCAAACTGTATACTTACTCCTACTGAGGCCAAGGCCCCATGGGATGAGGCGGTCAAATGGGACTTTAATGTGCTGCCACTGTGGAAATGGATTTTTACTTTATACATTGCCACTATGTTCCTCTAAAACTTCCTTTGGATCTATTATGCCATCTGTGTACATTCTGCAGCAGTTACAATAATAATGCCAAAGTCCCACAGAAATAAGATTTTTAAAATGTTATGTAGTTACAGTGAAGAGGCAGTAAACACTTCACTAAAGTGAATAACAGTTCTTTACCATTTTAAAGAAAAGGGGAAAATACCAAATGGGGTCAACTCACATTATGGGCTAATGGCCTGTAAACCTTTGTTTGGAAGCCAAGCATAGGAAAAAGCTTTGACAAGAGCTACTTTACACCATAAAAATAAATAAACCTCTTTCCAATAATTTGTGTTTTTTCCCAAGTAAAATTGCTAAGTTTCAAACAAAAATTAAAACTACCATTCAGAGGCCTGGCTGGTGTAGCTCAGTGGTTGGGTGTTGACCTATAAGCCAGGAGGTCACAGTTCGATTCCTGGTCAGGGTGCATGCTTGGGTTGCTCAATAGGGGGCATGCAGGAGGCAGCCCATCAATGATTCTTTCTCATTGATGTTTCTTTCTCTCCCTCTCCCTGTAAAATCAATAAAATCATATTTAAAAAATGCAACGAACCACCATCCAAGTGCAACCCTTAAAAATATAGGCTTTGTAGTAGAAATGGTAAGACAATCTCAGTGAAGGGAAAGGTTGCTACTGACAATAAAGGAGATTTTACAGTAAAAATTTCACACGCCAGTGCCAGGGCACATGTTTACAGATAATACTTAGAATCCATTCTCAATAACATAACTGTGTGGAAGGACTGTTGTTTTTCACAGGACTTCTGATGGTGATATGTACTAGTGTCCTGGCTTTGGTCCAAATTGCGTAAATATATTTGCCCTCCAGATCCCACAAATTTTCAATTCATTTTTTAAAAATATATTTTTATTGATTTCAGAGAGGAAGGGAGAGGGAGAGAGCGATAGGAACATCAATGATGAGAGAGAATCATTGACTGGCTGCCTCCTGCATGCCCCACACTGGGGATAAGGACCTGCAACCCAGGCATGTGCCCTTAGCTGGAATTGAATCCGGGACCCTTCAGTCCACAGGTTGATGCTCTACTCACTGAGCCAAACAGGGTAGGTCTCAATTCATTTTTATAGCAAGTCACCCTTGAACATCAAGTCAGAAGAAAGCAACTTCACCCCAAATTATAAAGTGAGAAGTGAGTTGTATATATGTTAAATTAATTAACATTTATGGAAGTTTCCCATGTGATTGTTCCCCTAAGGACTCTAAGAATATTCTTGTTCTCCAATTGTTCCCTATGGACTTCAACCTGTGTTCAATTCTCTTTTATTTAGAAACCATTCAACTGCTATGTTCAGAGTGCCCAGGACAGGGGGTTTCAAACTTACCTGAATATTGGAATTGTCTGGGGGACTTTCTAAAAAAGTTGAGCTTCCTAAACTCTACCTCACAGCTGAATTAGAATCTCTGGGGGTAGGATTCATGGATTTAGATTTTTATATGCTGCCGGTGACTCTTAGGAGAGAGCTTTTCAGATGTCACTTGGTAGAACCACAGGTAAGCATGACCCAGTATTTCAGTTTATATCCTACCACTAACAAATATCCTAACGCCACAAAACATTACTGAGGGATCTGAAAAGACCCTGAGCAAGGAGATTTCAGGTAATTCACTCATTCCTAAACTAAAATCTAGGAATAATAAATAAGCAGAGGGAAGCTCAAAGAAAAAAGGCTTCAATAATTAAAATCCCATAAATAAAACAAAAGGCTCTGGGACATCTTGCGAAGTTCCTTTCATCAGACATACAATTCGTACCCTTCTCTTATATTTTATTTAGCTTGCTGACATGAAAAAGAGCCCCTTGATAATCTACTTAGTGCCATTTGGCCCTGAACTTCTGGATAGTGTATTTATTAAAAGCAAATGACAGTAAATCACCTGAGTGTACAAATTCTGTCAATACAGCTCCCTTTTGCCAAGTAAGCAGCTTCCAGTGGCTGCTCTATTCCCTCTTTTTTAAAAATATATTTTATTGATTTTTTTTTACAGAGAGGAAGGGAGAAGGATAGAGAGCTGGAAACATCGATGAGAGAGAAACATCGACCAGCTGCCTCCTGCACACCCCCCACCGGGGATGTGCCCGCAACCTATGTGCAATGCCCTTGACCAGAATCAAACCTGGGACCTTTCAGTCCGCAGATCGACGCTCTATCCACTGAGCCAAACCGGTTTCGGCGACGTGTGCATTTCTTAATGTTCTCTAAAAAGCTGGAGTAAGTCTCTAGTGACTTTCCAGATTGTTCCTATAAGTCTCCCAGAGTCACCAGACTTTTGAAAACTGCTTATCCTAAGACTGATTCAGCCCCTCAGATAAGTACGTTAGAGATATCAGGAAGAGGAGTCTAGCCCCTCAGAGTCTGAGAACATCTAGGGAACAATCTGGGATGGCTAGATTCAGAAAGAAGCAAAGGGGGAGAAGTTGACAATGTACTCATCTGAGAATCCGTCCTTAATCCTCCCAACTCACACCTTAGCCTCAAGGAAACGTCTTTGGGTGAAAAGAGAAGCAGCTATTGATGATACTGCAAGTAAACATGGACTAGATATCAGCCATGAAAGTTTGAAAATGTAGTTACTCATGGACAGAAGAAGTCTTTTCTCTATATAATCTTGCTGACAATATGCTGTGGAAATCGCCCAAGTTCTTGTTGAACAGCTCAAGACAAGACACAAATATCAGAACCAACTCCTCCATCAGTCCCAAAGGTTTTAGATTCAAGGACAGCGAAACCTAGAAGTCAAGACATTAGAAACCATAATCTCTAGCCCCTCTTGTTGATGGAAAAGTGGAAGTCAATTATGACTAGAACTGGAAAAAAAAATAAGACCAAATCAAGGGCAGCATGGAGATTCTGTGGAAATCCAGCAGTACTGCAGGCTTCTGTATGCCTCCAGCCCTTACACTGACCAAGAAAATAATGAATTGATATTCACTGACAAACAACATAAACACTCTATAGGTAACTAATAAGAAAGATGTATAAATCTGCCTCTTTTATTTTTTACAGGTAATAGAAAAGTTGTCAATGTGATTTTCAGGTAGGAGGAAAAAAAACCACGCACTTATCATGACATGTTCAAATACTTTAAGTTATGTAACAAAGCTTTTCCCGGACCCGTTACGCCTCACAGTGCCTGCAGGACTTGTGAGGGTTACAGACAGCGGCTGATCACCGGGGCCGCAGTACCCACATGCTCTCGTAGGATGGAGTCAATAAAGAGCGCTACTCCACCCCTCTCTTTCAAAGCGAACCTAGGCTTTTAGGGACCAGAAGAGACACACTCCGGGGCTAATTTTTTTGCGGTAATATCTGGTTTTTGCAGGTGCAATGATCGATCACGCTGCCTGTGCTTACTTTATTACAATTACTAAACTCTTTTGAAAATAGCATTTTCAAAATATAGCATTTAAAGAGTCCTTTTTGTACAGCTCCTCCCCCAACGCCCCGCTTTAACAGAGAACAATATGAGACAGACTGTGGGGGCCAAGGCCGGGGATTCCTACGCTAGTACCCCTCACGCAGGGGATGCCTGTGCTCACAACGGCCCCCACGGCCTGCACCTGAGACAACAGTGTGATGCTGCGTGAACAGCCCGACACAGTAGGTCTGGCTTTTATGATGCAAATTTCCAAGGTAATTACAGTATTTTAACATAC